CATTTCTAAGGGCTTCAGGCACAAACACACAAATAAAACGACGTAGTAGTAGCGGAACTCCCATCTACTGTACCAGGCTAGCAGCAGCAACAAGAATATTTCTCAGTATTCTTCAGACGGTCCGTTGGAGATTCAGCAGAGCATTCAATTCCAATTCTAAATATTGAATTCAAGCACACCTCAATCTTTTGAACCCTTCTCTCGTTTGTGCCTCCTTCAAAAAGTGTTGAATCTACAATCTCCATAACTCGATTAGGGAAAGCCATTTTAACATAAGTATGAAGGTTTAGGTCCCCATTAAACATGTCGTCAGTGGGTCGCTTTCCTGTGAACATCTCTAACAGAAGAATACCAAAGCTGTAGACATCTCCATTTGTTGACACCTCACTTCCCATACCGTACTCTACCATTGAAACATCATAAGATATTATCAGCACAATTGTTAGTAAAATAGCTAAACTTTGTAAGATTTAAAAATAAAAAAAGGACACCACTTACCTGGAGCAGCATAACCAACCGTTCCTTTTATGCCAATGGAACTTGTGTGACTGTTGGAAACATTAATACCAGTTTCTTGGGAGAGAAATCTTGCGAGTCCAAAGTCAGAAACATGTCCAGTCATCTCGTTGTCCAAAAGAACATTGCTTGGCTTGAGATCACAATGAACTATCGGTGTTTCACAATGATTATGAAGATAATTCAATGCACAAGCAACATCAATGGCAATCTCTAGCCTTTGATCTAGATTTAAACTCTCGGGCGCTTCTCTTACATCTTCAAAATCAGTAGGAGGATGCAGCCACTCCTCTAAGCTTCCTCTATCCATGTACTTGTAAACCAGAGCCTTGAAGTCATTACCATGAAAGTCAACACTTGAACACGCAGTTATAATCTCGACAAGATTTCGATGCTTGATGTTTCTTAAAGCCTCACATTCGGCCATGAAACTCTTTGACGCTCCATGGCGTAACAAGTTGAACACCTTCACAGCAACAAGTTGATGTTTATCATTATCAGCAAGAATTCCTTTGTACACAGACCCAAAACTGCCTGCACCAATCAAATTAGCCGAAGAGAACTCGTCAGTAGCTCTTAGGAGAGTAGCATATGACACTTGCAAAAAACTGTTTGCCAATGTGCTCAACGGAATCTCTTTCCTTTTCCTTCTTGACGAACAGAGGAAGAAATAGGACATCACCATAACTATTCCAAGAAGAGCAACTCCGGAAAGTACTAACGGGATTATTAATTTGAAGCTACGTGATAATCCTCCTTTTCTGGACTTGCACTTTTGTAGTTGGAGATCAGCAATTCCCCCGCAGAGCTTGGTGTTGCCAGTAATTGAAATCGCACTTGCATTTTTAAAAGCACCTCCTCCACTTGGTACCGCTCCCCAAAATTCATTGAATGATAGGTCTAGTTTCTTCAAGAAGACAAAGCCCCCAAAGAATTTTGGAATTTCACCCGACAAATTGTTGCGAGAAAGGTCTAATTCTTCTATGCCTTTTAGCCCAATCATAGATGAGGGAATAGACCCATTGAAGAAGTTGTCTTGCAAGTGTAAGACTTCTAAACTCTCACATGAACCAAGGCTACTAGGAAGTTCTCCGGATAACATGTTATTAGAAACGTCCAGTACACCTAGACTCTTCAACTTCCCAACCTCCGTCGGAAGGGAACCGGTAAAGTGGTTCGTGGACAAGTTCAAAAGCTGTGATAAGGACTGGAGGCCGATAACTTGTTGAGGTATTGCGCCACTAAGTTTATTACTGGCCAAATTTAAAAATATCAGCTGCTGGCAATTCCCCAGGCTTGAAGGGATGACGCCCTCAAGATTATTTCCTTCTAAGGAGAGTCTGTATAACTTGGTTAAATTTCCTAAAGACGCCGGGATGCTTCCTGATAATGCATTCATAGAAATATCTAATTCCACAAGGCTTGACATCTTCTGAATTTCAGTGGGAATGTTACCCGTCAAGCTATTTCCCCCCATTAACAACGACTCCAAGTTGACCAAATTCCCTAATTCTGTTGGGATGCTTCCATGTATTTGGTTTCTGTCAAACCTAAACGTTTGAAGATTGGTTGAGAGATTGGATATTGATGCGGGCAACGTCCCACCAAAATTGTTTGCCTCAATACCCAAGAATTCTAACTCTGTGCCATTGGTCAAGTCTGAGAGAAAACTCAAGTCACCATCTGTACCGCTTCCAAGATGATTAGCTCCGATGGCGAATCGATATAGTTTATGAAGCTTTCGTAAATCCGGCACCTGTCCCGTTAGCTTGTTATACTGAACTTGAATTACATGTAGATTCGTGGCATTCGATAGTGAGAGTGGCAAGGATCCAAAAAATTGGTTTGCAGCGATGCTAAAGAATTGGAGATTAGGAAGAGTGTTTCCCAAGTCTGATGGAAGACTCCCTCGAATTCGGTTTTCTACTAAGGAAAAAAAATCAAGAGCAGAGAGGTTATAGATGGAGGGAGGAATGGTACCAGTTAACTTGTTTGCACCAAATGACAAATATTTTAATTTTTTTAATTGGCCTAGAGAAGTAGGGAGGCTTCCCACCAAGTTATTTCGTAATGCAGCAAGTAACTCGAGAGACGAAAGGTTTCCCAAGGAAGGAGGGATCTCTCCTGTTAAATTATTAAATTGTAAAAAAAATCTTTGAAGCTTCGACAAGGAGCCAAATTCAGATGGAATTTTACCCATCAACCCGTTGGAACCGAAATTCATGAAGATGAGGTTGGAGCAATATGATATGTTGTATGGAATAGGGCCACTAAATGAGTTGTTGTGTAGATACAGTACCTGCAATCTATGCAAATGCCCAATTTGTGGAGGGATTTCATGACTAAAGCTGTTGTTTTGGAGCTTTAGTGCCCTTAGGAAACTTAGGTTTCCTATGTGTGGGGATAGGGACCCTGCCAGCTTTTGAGATTGGAGGTCTAGACTCGTGACCCTCTGGCGATGGCGTCGACTGCAGGAGACACCGTGCCAGAAGCAAAAGTGAATGGATTCATTCCAGGAGCTCGTTACATTATGAGGATCTTGCTTTATTTGAGCTTTGATGGCTAGCAGTGCCAGCCTATCCGTCTCGTTGCCTCCCATTCTCAAATGCATGGAGCAAACGAACAATGCTCCATTCACAAGTGAGTATATTAATAAAATCAGTTTCATAACCAAAATCCCCATTTTGAGTTTGATTATGATCAGCCATGGCAAACTGGTTTATAAATAAGATTGAGTAATGCGCTTAACCAATTCCCGGTCATTACGATCAGCCACGGTTGACTTGCTTTCCAAAGACTCAAAACTTTGACTTGCTTCCATTAGTCACTTGCAAAGAATTAGTCATACATCACGCAGACGCTGTCATTGGATTGGAAGCTGATGGGGGTTTATCTAAACGTAAAACGTGGAATCTACGGAAAATGCCAAATTAGTCCATGTTGACTTGCTTTTCCAAATTGAGACGACCTCATTTCCTCTTCCTTCGAGGAAAACTGTTCTCGCAACCACTATTTGTTGTACTTGTATGGTTGTTCAAAATGACCCCAGGAAACTGAGTGGAAACAGCCCCAGCAACAATACATTTCCACCAACGTGTGGTGGAAGAAATACGTACGTATGATAAAGGCCAGTGGTTAATTTCTTCTGGCACCAATCAGACGTTGGTTTGCTTGAAGGAAACCATATAAGACTCGTACACCATAGACTTTATGAAAATACGAATACATATCTGATGATAACATGTGGATATGACATAAGTCTGTAGAAGAAAGGTGAAAAGTCTTCAACCGGTGAAAAATTTGGACTGGAGTCTGGACCAAATCGGGCTGGTTGTGTGTTTTTTAATTTTTTAATAAAATATTTAACCCTAATGCTAAATTTCTAAACCCATAACTAATCTTTTCCTGCCCAACTCCAAATCACCTATCTTTCTAGGCCTAATCACTGAATTTTTAAGTCCTAAAAACAAAATTTTAGTTGGATTTTGTGAAAAAAAATTCAAAAAAAAAAATCCACTCCAAAACCGAAAACCGAACTGGCTTATAGACAAACCGGATCACACTAAATTGTATAAATATTTAATCCCAAGTACTATCTTTTCCAAAGACAACTTGACTAGATTCCCAAACGGCAACGACTGTTGTTGTCAGTGTTAAGTTGCAAATTGCAATAAAACTAAACACTAATTTCTCTAAGAAGTAACAATTAGTTTTTAATTTAGTGATACTTCTTTTCTTAGGAAAAGATTTGAAGTTTGAATCCCCTCTCAATTGATTAAACAAAGTTCATGACGGATGTGAAGAGAAGTAAAATTATTCAGTGACAATTAAGCTTCAATACTATTTTTTTTGTTAGTTTATGGGAGAAGAGGTTTAGAAAATGGTTGGTTTTAGTGTTTAGGACAATAGCTTGACTATGAATATAGAACTTTTGAAAGAATAACAAAGTAATTTTATTTGAATGGAGGAGAAAAGGTACAAAGCTCATATAGAGGACTTAGTGGGATATAGGACAGCTGGTAGTTTTCAGCTTACATATTTGTCAAGGCAACAAGCCTATATATGAGAGTTTTAATCAACATAGCTTAGTCTGTTAGTTTATAATATTACAGCACTGTGATTATTTTATACTAAAGCATATGATATTTTGGATTCACTAGCTTAGTCGGTTAGTTTATAATATTACAGCACTTCGATTATTTTATACTAAAGCGTATGATATTTTGGATTCACCGACTTTGCTAAGTTAGTTTGCTCATTCTCCATTATTCTAGATTTTTTTATATTATTTAAGACACAAGTGTGCATTAATTTTAACATTTTCTTTGTTTGGTGAGAAAACGGTAAAAGGCCCAGGAAACAAAGTTGAACTGTGGCAGGCCTACAGACTCCAATAATATGCAGGCCTACAAAATTGATGCAGTAGTTTGATAAATTTGATCACATTTGCGGGGCTCCAGGCCCAAATAGACCAATAGAAGTAGCAGCAGCAACAAGAGTATTTCCCAGACAGCACATAAAAGTTTCTATCCAAGGAGAACGTCTCTAATGGAATGCAGTTCAGAAACAGCATCACTGATATTCCTTAGACGGTCTGTTGGAGATTCAGCAGAACATGCAATTCCAATTCTAAATATTGAATTCAAGCACACCTCAATTTCTTCAACTCCTGCACCACATTGATTGGGAGTTTTGTTGGTGTTTCCTTCAAAAAGTGGTGGATTTGCAATCTCCATAACTTGCTCAGGCAAAGCCCTTTTGACATAAGTGTGAAGGTTTAAGTCTCCATTGAACACGTTACCAAGCAAAATGTTAACTTCCAAAGCTGAGTGCCAATTTAAAGAGCTACGGAGGGAGACTCAAAGTCGACGGCAAAACTAACACACGCGCAATTTTTATGAACCTAAGCAAACATGGAAAACGAAGCTGAGGCCACCCAATCTGAATTTCCTAACGGACTAGTCTTCCCAGAAAAGCCCCATTTGGTGACGGGGTATAATTAACGATTCTAATCAAATATTTGGTGGCTTACGACAACTTGGATTGGATTATATGTAATAGTGTTATGTAAATGTTGTTGGATTATGTATCCCACTAAAAAGTTGAAATTATGTTTAATGGGTTTATGTCTAGTCCTACTTACCCATGTAATACCATAATCCAATTAAGTACAGCGCCAAACACATCATTGAATTAATTTTATTCTTTCTAACCCAATATTCTCATCAACCAGGTCTAATTTAGTGGAAAATGATCTTGACTTACAAACCAGTATTCTCAAATTCGAAGCTCAATAATACATTGGCAGCGTGTATGTGAGACAAACCCCTCCCGCTTCCTAATTATGACAAAAATAAAAACCCCTAATATTCCCAATTGTACCTCATAATCCAATCTTAAACACTAAACATAACATTAAAACTCAATTTCATAGTAAATATATATATATACTTTACAAAAAATCATGAATCCAACTATTATTGCACTCGACATTAACAACTGAAAGATAAAGAATCTGTTTTTTTCAGTATCAAGTTTTACAGTATTTTCATTAACAATAACACTTGTAAGGGGACTACGTTAATTAAGTTTTCATCTACAATCTTCTTAGAGTAGATCTACATTCTTGGGCCACGGCCCATGGGCTTGTTCTAATTTGAAGTCCAGTAATGTTTTTTTTTAGTCTGATTTTGAACGAAGTTGACCTTTGGCCATTTAATGCCAGCCCATGGGCTAACGAATGCCCCTATATAAACTACATTAGACAAAGAGTAAAAGACCCCGACATCAGACACAAAAACCTACTTTTTGTCTTTCAATTTTTTATCCCTAGACTAGGTTTTTATTTTCCAAGCAAGTAGACTAGATCAGTTCTTCACTTTCGTTAGTGTAAGTTTAATTTCTTGCATTTTCCTTTACGTTGTTTTAAGATTCAAGCTTATCGCTTTATTTTTAATTGTTATCGAATTCTCTTTAAGATTATATTAATTTCAGATTGCTTTATTTTATTGTCTTTATCATTTATATCGTTCTTGTTTCGTTCTTCGTTTAATTTATGTTTATTTATTGCTTTGATTTACTTTATTGCATTTTAATTCTTGTCTTTAAGTTCAATCGCATCTTTTAATTTAATTTGCATCATTATCATTAAAATCTCAAAAAATACTAAAATACCCATACGAAACCTAACCATCCTCGACCCCGAGGAAGTGAAAGGACCTAGGCCAAGAGGAGGTTCCTTGCTTGGCCGATCAATCGGCTGGTTAGAAGTCAGAAGCGCGAACTTAACAATCCAACCTTTTCCATTCGAGCCAATCAGTGGCTTGGTGGTGGCACGCCTACGCAATCCAAGAGAAGAAGGACCAAAAGTTCCTTCCAACGGCCACCTTGGCCGAAAAGAGGGAAACAATGAGATACATCAAGTAGCTCGAGAGACGAAAGGTTCCCCAAGGAAGGAGGGATCTCTCCAGTTAAATTATTACCTTCTAAAACAAGTATTCGAAGATTTGGAAAGGAACCAATTTCAGATGGAATTTTACCCACCAGCTTGTTGAAAGCCAAATGCATTGAGGTGAGGCTTAAGCAATATGATATGTTGTGTTGAAAAGTAATGCACACTTAAATCTAGAATAATCTAGAAAAATTGAGAGAAAAAGACAAGTCAAATTTGAGCTATACACTAGAAACATCCTATTAATTATATAATGTATTGTAACTAGACAATTCTAGATTTATATTATAACTAGTGGCTGGAAAACACTTTGGAAAGTCGGTTACTATGCAATAACCGACTTGACTAGATATTTGCCAACCTTGAGAGTTGGTTTAGCTACTCTATATATAAAGCTAGCAGCCCAATTATGTTTTTAAGTAAGAAAAACTACAGCTGCCAATTCTAGCCATCATCCAACTCTAGCTTTAAAGCCTTGTACCCAGTGGCGGACCTGTGTAGGCGCAAGGAGGCGCGCCCGCACCTCCGGTCGCTGGAAATCGCCATTACAGGTGCTGGAGTTGCACCTCTGCTTCAGACCAGAGATGCACATGAGGTGTTCGACGAAATGCGCAAGTGACTGGGCGCTGCGCAGCTGCTGGTGCGCGCGCGCTCTCCTTTTTTTTTTTAACGAAGCCTGGCCAAAACGACGTCATTTTGGACCAGGCTGTTTTAAAACACGCTGGTTGTTTTTTTTTTTTAAAAAAAAAACCTGGCCAAAACGACGTCGTTTTGGACCAGGGTTTTTTAATTTAATTAAAAAAAATGGAAATTGATGCTGTGTGTGGGCTTTTTGTGGGTTTTTTCAAAATGGCTTCTATTTCCTTACTTAAATGGGACTTAATTGGGAGTTCTCTTTATTCAATTGGGTTTTGGGAATTCCTTAATTAAGTAGAATTGGGAATTCTCTTTATAAAAGACCAATTTAACATCACCCAATTTCATCAAAGTGTGTGTGCATCACAATAATTCTTTTTTCTTATTTAGCTCTCTCTATACAGTTATGGAACGATACTTTCAGAGAAAGAGTTCAAATCCTCCTTCAAATAATCCAGCTAGTTCCAACCCTCCTTCAAATAATCCTGCTAGTTCAAATCAACTTTCAAATAATCCGGCTAGTTCCAACCCTCCTTCAAATAATCCGCCTACTTCACATCCTCCCTTGAATAATTCGGGTAGTCCAAAACGATCAGAGGTCACTGAGTTGGATGAAATATTGGCTACTCTTCCTGCAGACCCTGGACTTTGACCTCCAATGACTTATTATAATCCCAATTTTCGAGAAAAAATCCGAAGAGCCTATCTACAAAGGGGTGCGGAGTGTCGCCGGTGAGGTACCCCAATTTTTCGCGACTAGCAATACGTAACTCCATGACCTGAGACCATAAGGCATAATTGGTCTCTGTCAAGGTGATGCCGGTAGGAAACGGAGCGTTGTCACTCTGAATAGTAACAATTTGGGGGGATGAGGAAGTGGATTCGGTGGTTTGGGAAACGATATCCATGGCAGCGGAAGGAAAAAGGTTAGGGGTTCGGGGTTGTGTTTAGGGTTTCGGGATTCAGGATTCAGGGTTTCGGGATTCAAGATTCAGGATTCAGGATACGAGGATACGGGTTCGTGTTTCAAGGAATTTGATACGAGGGATTCAGGTTTCGAGAAATTCAATACGAGGATTTAGAGACAACCTAGGATCGATTGCTCTGATACCATGCTAAAATATGAATACTGGTTTTCAATATGTTCAGATTAATATATTCTTCTCCATAAGGAGGTATATATATGTGTTTACAGAGTGCTTTACAAGGAATAAGGTTCAAACAGGAATTAGGAAAGTATCTCCTAATTATACACAGATTTGTCAACTACATGGAATGGGAAAGTAAATCCCTTAATTAATCAAGGAAATAATTCTCCTTGATTAATTAGGAGACTCACGTCAACACATACTTGTCTATAAGCAAAATACTAGAAAAAAAAAAAAAAAACATGTAAAATGAAGGGAGAATGCTTAGTTCAACCAAAATGCCACTATAATTAAGAAAATACAACTGATGTCTCAGAATCTGTGGGTGAACACTTGAGAGCTTGGTGAAAATTGTTCTTGCATTGAAGAACAAATGTGCAGCATGTGGAACAACTTTGTTTGCGGCCAGTATAAAAATGTGTTATTTCATAAATACAACCATGTTGTATCTTTGCACCAACCAAATCATGGTCCATCTGTTTCACAAGAAATGTGAGAATACAAGGTAAACACTCCAATCAAGCATAATGAGAAACAATAACAAGAAATTGTCTAGGGAAGATCAATAAGACTAGTTAAAATATATGCTTGATTTATTTATCCAACTTTGATAATTTATAAACACAAATTGCCAGCAACTAATTAGCAGCTTAAGAAGACTAGCTACAATGGAGGCAGTGAAAAAGAAGGAGATATATACCTTTCCTACACCACCCATGCCAAAAAGCAACCAACAACCCAGTTGCATATTTAAGAGTTCCTATACTTGAAGAAACTAATGACAACCTGAAAATTAATCGGAGGGAGTTATTGGATATATTTTTCAATGGCTGTTATAAATAAATAAAAAAGAACGGTTATTCGGTAAGATCATACACTTGACATTGGTTTGGAAGTGTCTTCTCTCTGCCTTTCGGGTATTCGGTAAGATCAAGAGAGGCTGCACAGGAGGAGAAGAAAGACTATATATATGAAGAAAGTGAGAGCACATGAGACGACGAGAGTAAAGAAAGGAAGAGAGGCTGTCACACAGATATTTTGGCTATTCTTTTTCTGTTTTATTTGTTTGTTTGCTATTACTTCCCTTCATTACTTCACCACCTACTTCACCAGTCAAACTAATTCAGCACACCTACCTATATGTTATTAGTTCCCTTCATCATTATTTCACCAGCCAAAATAATACACCGACAATGAATATGAACTGATCAACTTAAATTTTTTGCTGAACTGAACGAAAGTAACATAAAACCTTTTCAATACCTAATTAATTAAAAAGATGAATAAAGACACCTTTATATTATACATGGGAGGAAAATCAATCATGAAAGATAGGGCAATAACTATATAGTGCCACAATGGGTTAGCTCATGTGAGTATGCGATTATATTTTTGTTGTTTTTAATTTTTGAATACAATCGATAGTCTAAGTTATAAGGGGGACGATGATTTTTCAGACAAACACTTTTTCGCTAAGATGGACCCATTTGCAAGCATGCTTCACAATAGGCATGGGCTTAGGAAATGGCAGTTATAGTCTTTAGAGAACGTATTTGGACCAAACAACAGGATCAAGTGTACTTTCAGATTTATTTAAGATAAGAGATTTACACAAGATACAGTAGTTTGATAGCTTTGATCACATTTCTAAGGGCTTCAGGCACAAACACACAAATAAAACGACGTAGTAGTAGCGGAACTCCCATCTACTGTACCAGGCTAGTAGCAGCAACAAGAATATTTCTCAAGCAGCACATAAAAAATAATATACCCATCACACAAACCCGTAGCAGAAAAAGTTCCTATCCAAGAAGAACGTCTCTAATGAAACGCAGTTCAGATGCAGCATCACTGATATTCTTCAGACGGTCCGTTGGAGATTTAGCAGAGCATTCAATTCCAATTCTAAATATTGAATTTAAGCACACCTCAATCTTTTGAACCCTTCTCTCGTTAATGCCTCCTCCAAAAAGTGTTGAATCTGCAATCTCCATAACTCGCTCAGGGAAAGCCATTTTAACAAAAGTATGAAGGTTTGGGTCCCCATTAAACACGTCGTCGGTGGGTCGCTTTCCTGCGAACATCTCTAACAGAAGAATACCAAAGCTGTAGACATCTCCATTTGTTGACACCTCACTTCCCATACCGTACTCTACCATTGAAACATCATAAGATATTATCAGCACAATTGTTAGTAAAATAGCTAAACTTTGTAAGATTTAAAAATAAAAAAAGGACACCACTTACCTGGAGCAGCATAACCAACCGTTCCTTTTATGCCAATGGAACTTGTGTGACTGTTGGAAACATTAATACCAGTTTCTTGGGAGAGAAATCTTGCGAGTCCAAAGTCAGAAACATGTCCAGTCATCTCGTTGTCCAAAAGAACATTGCTTGGCTTGAGATCACAATGAACTATCGGTGTTTCACAATGATTATGAAGATAATCCAATGCACAAGCAACATCAATGGCAATCTCTAGCCTTTGATCTAGATTTAAACTCTCGGGCGCTTCTCTTACATCTTCAAAATCAGTAGGAGGATGCAGCCACTCCTCTAAGCTTCCTCTATCCATGTACTTGTAAACCAGAGCCTTGAAGTCATTACCATGAAAGTCAACACTTGAACACGCAGTTATAATCTCGACAAGATTTCGATGCTTGATGTTTCTTAAAGCCTCACATTCGGCCGTGAAACTCTTTGATCCTCCATGGTGTAACAAGTTGAACTCCTTCACAGCAACAAGTTGATGTTTATCATTATCATCAAGAATTCCTTTGTACACAGACCCAAAACTGCCTGCACCAATCAAATTAGCCGAAGAGAACTCGTCAGTAGCCCTTAGGAGAGTAACATATGACACTTGCAAAAAATTGTTCGCCAATGTGCTCCATGGAATCTCTTTCCTTTTCCTTCTTGACGAACAGAGGAAGAAATAGGACATCACCATAACTATTACAAGAAGAGCAACTCTGGAAAATACTAAGGGGATTATTAATTTCGAGCTACGAGATGATCCTCCTTTTGGGGACTTGCACTTGGGCTGATCCTATAGATGGGGGGTTTTACTGTAGTCCCTAGTACTGTCTTTTCCAAAGATAATTTTGACTAGATTCCCAAACGACTGTTGTTGCCGGCGTTAAGTTGCAATTTGCAATAAAACTAATAGAAGACATATCATCGTGGACTCCACTCAACAAACAGAATCATGCATAAAGAGATCACACTGACATATTCCTTTATTCCCTGTGCTCCACTGAAAGGCCCCTTGAAGAAGTTGCCTTGCAAGTACAAGAATTCTAAACTTTCACATGAACCAAGGCTACTAGGAAGTTCTCCGGATAACATGTTATTAGAAACGTCCAGTACACCTAGACTCTTCAACTTTCCAACCTCCATCGGAAGAGAACCCGTAAAGTGGTTCCTAGACAAGTTCAAAAGCTGTGATAAGGAAGGAAGGCCAATAACTTGTTGAGGTATTGCGCCACTAAGTTTATTATTGGCCAAATTTAAAAATATCAGCTGCTGGCAATTCCCCAGGCTTGAAGGGATGACGCCCTCAAGATTATTTCCTCCTAAGTCGAGTCTGTATAACTTGGTTAAATTTCCTAAAGAGGACGGAATGCTTCCTGATAATGGATTAAAAGAAATCTCTAATTCCAGAAGGCTTGAAAGCTTCTGAATTTCAGTGGGAATGTTACCCGTCAAGCTATTTTCCCCCATTGCCAACGACTCCAAGTTGAATAAGTTTCCTATGTCTGTTGGGATGCTTCCATGTATTTGGTTTCTGTAAAACCAAAACCTTTCAAGCTTGGTTGAAAGATTGGATATTGATGTGGGCAACGATCCTCCAAAATAGTTGTCATTTATAAGCAAGTTTTTTAACTCTGTGGCATTGGTCAAGTCCGAGACGAACATCAAATCACCATCTGTACCGCTTCCAAGATGATTCTGTTCAATGGTGAATCTGTATAGATTATGAAGCTTTCGGAAATCCGGCATCTGACCTGTGAGGTTGTTATATTGAATTTCAAGTATCCGTAGACTTGTGGTATTTGATAGTGAGAGAGGCAAGGATCCAAAAAATTGGTTTCCAGCGATGCTAAAGATTTGGAGATTAGGAAGAGTTTTTCCCAAGTCTGATGGAAGCCTCCCTTGAATTTGATTAAATTTTACGAAAAAAGAACGAAGAGCAGAGAGGTTATAGATGGAGGGAGGAATGGTACCAGATAAGTTGTTTAAGCCCACTGACAAAAATGTCAAGTTTTTCAATTGGCCTAGAGAAGTAGGGATGCTTCCCACCAAGTTATTTTCAAATGCAGCAAGTGCCTCGAGAGACGAAAGGTTTCCCAAGGAAGGAGGGATCTGTTGAGAGTTAAACCAAGTCCACCGAATTCAAAGCCACATTTAATATTTTATTCACTTTGTAAAAGCATGCCCATGCTTTATGTAGGATATGTTTTGTTTATTGGCTCAAGGAGTGGTGCTACTGTGGCTAAGTTTGTATTAGGCATGCTGTGGGCAGTGCGCTCTCTTGTCTCTAGGATATTTTTATTGTGTATGCTGAAAGGTCTGTCTCTCTCTCAAAAGAGGCGTGGCCTCTACTTGTATTTGTAGTTGTTGCTGTTTGATCATTATTGAACAAGGCTTATCAGCTTTTCCTTTTGTCTTCTTCCTTCTATTCTCTTCCGAGTCTGTGTGAGTTCATTGAGGGTGTGTTTACAGACTTGGTTTTCTTTGGTTTTCATCTGCGTGCCATCTTTGGTGTTTGGTCTGTTTGTTGTCTGTGAGTTTGCTAGTGTGAGTTTTTAGTTTATTCTACAGGATCTTTCCTGTTAAATTATTAGCTTGTAGAACAAATTGTCGAAGCTTCGACAAAGAGCCAAATTCAGATGGAATTTTACCGACCAACCCGTTGAAACCGAAATTCATGAAGATGAGGTTGGAGCAATATGATATGTTGAATGGAATAGGGCCACTAAATGAGTTGTTGTGTAGAGAAAGTACCTGCAATCTACGCAAATGCCCAATTTCTGGAGGGATTTTGTTGCTGAAGCTGTTGTTTTGTAGTTCTAGCTCCCTTTGGAAACTTAGGTTTCCTATGTGTGGTGATAGGGACCCTGCCAGCTTTTGAGATTGGAGGTCTAGACTCGTGACCCTTTGTTGGTGTCATCGACTGCAGGTGACACCGTGCCAGAAGCAGAAGTGAATGGATTCATTCCAGGAGCTCGTTACATTATGAGGATCTTGCGTTATTTGAGCTTTGATGGCTAGCAGTGCAATGCGGATCCAGAATTTTTTTAGCGGAGGTGCAATATTGACTAAGTATGAAAAATGGTTTTTCGGAATAATCATTTTCTCAAGATAATTTTTGGCGGCTTTTGTTCCATACACATCAAATAAGAAAACTTGATTTTATGAGATTTTAGTATGAAGTATATATTGACTTAATGAGCCATCATTTTTAGCCTAAATCGTATTTTGCACTAAAACCGAATTTTCATATTTTGATTTGGTGGGAATTTGATTTTCTAGTATTTTTATTTGAATCCAAATAGGGGTACTTCTTTATTTACATTGTAAACTTAAGTAAATGAAGTAATATAAAAATAAATAAAAGTAAAAGGACAAAGACATTTACTTAAATGTTGAAGATGGAAATAAGGTAATCTGTACATCAGTTGAGTAAAGGGGCAATTTCAAGCACCTACAATGGTTTTTCCGGCGAGGGGAGGTGCAGTTGCACCTCCTTGCGCCTTAGTAGGTCCGTCTCAGAGTGCAAGCCTATCCGTCTCGTTGCCTCCCATTCTCAAATGCATGGAGCAAACGAACAATGCTCCATTCACGAGTGAGTATATTAATAAAATCAGTTTCATAACCAAAACCCCCATTTTGAGTTTGATTATGAAGGCATGGCAAACTGATTTATAAATAAGATCTTCCACTAGTCACTTCATTTCCTTCAAATACTGTCAATTGTAATCAATGGCAATTGCCAAATATAAAATAGGCAATAATTGGAACTTGCACAACTCGTAAAGAGAACAAAAGTATGAGAGAGAAAAGCAAAACTTAAAAAGAAGAGCCTAAACAAAACAAAATAAGTTATATCCATCTCCCCCCAGCCACCCGTCCCTTCCCATTGGATAATTCCACTTCTTTTTTTGTCATTTCTTTTTTTATTGGCTTTAAAACAAATTTTTTTTTTCTACATGCTTTAAAACTAATATTTGTCTGCATCATATTATTTTTTTCTTTTTATACCATGCTTTAAAAAATTTTAATCAAATATAGAGGACTTAGTGGGATATAGGACAGCTGGTAGTTTTCAGCTTACATATTTGTCAAGGAAATAAGCCTATATATGGGAGTTTTAATCAACATAGCTTAGTCGGTTAGTTTATAATATTACAGCACTTTGATTATTTTATACTAAAGCATATGATATTTTGGATTCATCGACTTTGCTAAGTCGGTTTGCTCATTCTCCATTATTCTAGATTTTTCTATATTATTTAAGACACGAGTGTGCATTAATTTTAACATTTTCTTTGTTTGGAGAGAAAACGGTAAAAGGCCCAAGAAACAAAGTTGAACTATGGCAGGCCTACAGACTCCAATAATATGCAGGCCTACAAAATTGATGCAGTAGTTTGATAAATTTGATCACATTTGCGGGGCTCCAGGCCCAAATACACCAATAGAAGTAGCAGCAACAACAAGAGTATTTCCCTGGCGGCACATAAAAGTTTCTATCCAAGGAGAACATCTCTAATGGAATGCAATTCAAAAACAGCATCACTGATACTCCTTAGACGGTCTGTTGGAGATTTAGCAGAACATGCAATTCCAATTCTAAATATTGAATTCAAGCACACCTCAATTTCTTCAACTCCTGCACCACATTGATTGGGAGTTTTGTTGGTGTTTCCTTCAAAAAGTGGTGGATTTGCAATCTCCATAACTTGCTCAGGCAAAGCCCTTTTGACATAAGTGTGAAGGTTTAAGTCTCCATTGAACACGTTACCAAGCAAAATGTTAACTTCGAAGCTGAGTGCCAATTTAAAGAGCTACGGAGGGAGACTCAGAGTCGACGGCAAAACTAACACGCGCGCAATTTTATGAACCTAAGCAAACATGGAAAACGAAGCTGAGGCCACCCAGTTTGAATTTCCTAACGGACTGGTCTTCCTAGAAAAGCCCCATTTGGTGACGAGTATAATTCACGATTCTAATCAAATATTTGGTGGCTTACGACAACTTGGATTGGATTATATGTAATAGTGTTATGTAAATTTTGTTGGATTATGTATCCCACTAAAAAGTTGAAATTATGCTTAATGGGTTTATGTCTAGTCCTACTTACCCATGTAATACCATAATCCAATTAAGTATAACGCCAAACACATCATTGAATTAATTTTATACTTTCTAACCCAATATTCTCATCAACCAGGTCTAGTTTAGTGAAA